ATAACAATAAACCTTCCTGGATTTCTTCTGTGTGTCTCTTTGTGCTCAGGCATGCATCAGGAAGTTTCCAGGTGTTTGTAAGTTTTCTCTGGTTGATTTCTACTTTCACAGCACGATGGTCGATAGTTTAAATTTGGTGAATGGAATGCTTTTGTGTTTACTTAAGCAGGCTTTGTGGTGGACTAGTATGTGGTCTGTCTATGAGAAAGTTCCCTGCACCACTGAGAACAGTGTACTCCGCTGGGAGAGGGCAGAAGCCTCTGTGGATACCCACTGAGTCCATGTTTCAAAGATGAGGTTCACCTCTGATATTTCTGTGTTGAGTTTTTGAGGTCAGCCACCATGGTTGTGTTGGTGCTTATTGGACTATTTGAAACTACATGGCATTTCTCCATTTGTATTTTTAAATTTTGAATTATGATAGCAATATTTACTACATGGACATTTCAGGGTGATTAAATAAGCTAAAATAGTAGGGTGGATAATTAATGGTCAGTGCACAGGAAGCGACAGTTAATGGGTATTGAAGAGCGGGGAGGAGGAAAAGGAGGAGGAGGGTGGTGATTCCACATGAGCAGGCGTTCCTTGCCTAGTTAGGGACAGGTTCCACCTCTTGAGTTCTTGAGTCAAAATACATAAAATGATGAAATAACAATGAGAAAGAACTACTCACTCATTTTGGTTTGGTTTTAAAACCACCTCAGTTTTTAGAGCAAGAGTGATTAAATTAAATTCAGGGAGCCAGGCCCAGGAGGGGAAAAATATAGAACTGGAGCAGCTGCTTTTGACTGACACCTCCTGAATATGCAGGAGTGGCGGTACAGCACTCTGATCTCTCCTTCTGCCTGACCTCGTGTACAGTGCACCTTTGGAGAAATGCATCACTGCTCAAGATTGGATTGTGGGTCCCAGCCATGTGGCCCTGTCCCTTTATGGGCGACAGTAAGTTGTCGTACATCGCCCTCCGGGCGGCGGTCTCTTACTCTAAGCATGACAGGAGAGGCCCTGAAAGGGTTGCACACAAGCACTGGACACCCTTGACGTCCCTGTGAGCTGAACTGTGGGCAAAGCTCCAGTGCGAACTGCGTCTGCGCACTGCATTACTCCCGGCAGTCAGCTTCCGGGACTGTTGTTTGGGGCGGGGCAAATTCTCTTTAAGACTCTCGATCATTTTGAATGATAGAATATATGGAAGGAGGCCTCTCAGACCGAAGGCTGAAAGAAAGTGGTTGCTGCCACCTGATTTGAACTACTGCGAATCTCACAGGATCTCCTGGGAAAATCTAAAGCCAAAGAACTGTAATATTCTGTGACACTCTAGATGCCCAATTCAGCAAATCGACTGAGAAAATAATTTGGAGCTGTGGATATGTGGCACATTGAATTGGATCAAGGAACAGGAGTCCGGAGAAGTACAAAGGTCCACACCGCCCTGGTTTTGTGCCTTAGGGTACCGGACATTTCCCGGTGAGTTTGCCGGGAAGCTGCAAGAGTCAGAATAGATTGCGAGTGGAGATAAATCTGCAGTAATTGTGTTGGGACGTTGCATGCATCCCTTAGGTAGTTTTATTTATTATCATGCTTGCTGATCGTATGCAGAGCGGTCTGGACGCTACACAGGGAGATTTTATTTCTAAAAATGATAAAGTGAGCAGTCTATGCATTTAGCACGAGCTCTTTAAAATTCTGCCTTCTTTCCAAGTTGCAATCGTCATAGCCATGGCCGTCCTGCAGACCAGCACGCTCCCAGTCTCGGCTCTGCTTCTCCTGAGGTGGATCCTCCTGGGCTCCCCGCGGCCTCCAGCCTTCTTATTTGCCCCCCTCCTTTCTCCCTCAATCAGGCATCTTTTGCCGTCCCTCTGGGATCCTCCTCCTCCGCCTGGGAATTCGCACCGACTCTCTTGCTGTTTGTTACGGAAGCCCTCCCAGGTGTGCCCTGCCTCTGTGAGACCCACTCCTCTGAGGTCGGTCTCCCAGCAGCTCCTCATCAGTCCTCTCGCTTTTCACTCCACACTCCCGGGCATCTGCTCTCCACGCCCCTGCTTAATGCTCTCCTCCGTGAGACCGACGTGACGTGCGCACCACGGCGCCTGGTGACTCTTTCTGCCCTCTAGCGCAGGTTAACTCGTGGCTTCAGCGCCCTGGTGGAAATGTTTTCCTCCCTTGGCTTCCATCAGATCACTTTTTTTCCGCCTGAATGAGTGTCTTTGGGGTTGGTGTTCAGCCGCCTTTCCCTAGAGGCTGTGGGCTTCCTTCTCATCTCTCTCTCCCACCCTTCTGCACTCTTCAGCCTTGGGGTTGTCCTGCCTTGCTAGCTCGGTGTTTGGAGACAGGACCCAAACCTTGGTCCGAAGCCGTATGTGTCCGTCCAGCAGACCTTCGACGGCATCCTTCCCTTTCCGCTCTGCTCACGTTACCCCTGCGCAGACGCACAGCTCTCCTAGTGCTACCTCACTTCCTCCCGTTAGTCACTTGGACGCAAAGCTTCACGTTCGCCTCTGACCAGCACGGTTCCTGATCTCTGCCCTAACTGAGCCTTCAAAGCTTTCTGGTTTTTCCTACCCGCGCTCTGAATCGTGGAAGCCAGTACTAACTACATCCCTTTCTCGTTTCCCTCATTCTTTCTTTTCAGATTTACTGACCCATGTTTTCCAAAACCGCAAAATGATTTGGCCGCTTAATGAGAAATGTTCAGTATTTCTCCATTTTTGCAAATTTAGGATAAATTTGAAGTTTCTCACCCTAAAGATCTGGAGCTTCTAATAGCACATAAAAACCATGTTGAAAGTTTTTGCGTGATCATTTTGTATACTTGGTGGAGGTTCTAACCCAATGTGATGTTCTAGGTTCCTAACACACCTACATTCTAAATTGATATTCCCTCTCTGTTTCCCTGACTCTTCTTCCTAACTCTAAGCATTCAATTCTTTATGACCTATCAAAGGATATTGCCAGTGTGCCTATAAAATTTTCTTTGACCTAAATAAGAGGTAGAGACCATTTAACCTTTGGAAACATTTTGCTTGTGTTTTGCCAGTTGTTAGATGCTCCCTTGTAGTCCAGGATGCCTTGCACTTATTTGGGTTGTAGTTATCCATTGAAAATTACCTCTAAGTAATACACCATTTCCTTTGGCTTCCTTCATGCTGCATAGGAGGGTGCTTTATGATAAAGATTCACTACATTTATGGAAAGAGGGAGGCTCTGGAAGTACAGAAAATGTACCTTTCTGTTTCCTCTGATGCTTTTTAAAATATGTTGCTTTGGAGAAGCTCTTTTACAAATCTTGAATCTCAAAGATCTCTTTTAAAATGGAGATTTTCTAGATATCTCATAGGCTTCTTTTATAACTTAAGCAGAAGCACACACATAAAGTACCTCACATAGTGAAAGAGCTCATGGTAGCACTTACGACTGCTGAAAAACTGAGAATTTAATAAATGAGCAAAGAAAAGTGTCGAGGTAGTCTTATAGTTTTGGACTATAAAACTATACTAAAATGTTTACTTTTTGTCTTATAAGCACGTTGGTTAGATCACAAAATATGCACAATGAGGAACATAGCTGATGTGATGAAGAAGCCGATTCCAGTTCACCTATGAAAAACTATAAATATGTTTCTGGTTCACTTATTTGCTCATACAAGATGAGGATGTTCAATCTATTCCAATTCTTCAAATTTAGAAGTGATACTTCAAGTACAGTTTAAAATTTTTCATCTATGAACATCCTATAATTTCACTATTTCTTTGAATTCAATTTAAAATTTAATCTCTAATGCAAAATTAACATTAGTTATTTGGAAAATAATGGATATTGTATGCAGCAAGTTTTCCACAAAACTTATACAGTAAGATAGAAATACAGCCAAACTTTTCCCATTTCACAATTCTTCCTTTGAGGATTCCAATTTTGCTTTGTCTTTACTCTTCCTTATATTTTGCATTATTTTACCCTACACTGACATGGGCATAAAAGCCTTGCAAACTGACCTTTTTAAAGAATCACTTTGCTCTGACAAGGTGTAAGTATTTCCTTCTGTAATACGCTGGATATTTCACAGCAATACAGTTCTTTGTGTAGAGTAGCAATTGGCAAATTCTAGTGCATGGGTCTCTAGAGTGCCGGAGATTTTCTCCGGTGCTCTGTAAGGTCAAAATAATTTTACATTGGCACACCAAATACTCATTTCCTTTTTCATTCCCACATAATGAAGTAGCTCAGACACCACATGACAAACAGGATGTCACTGCTCTGACTCTGGGCACGTGTGCTGAGATGTTCACACAGTGTTTGAATTTTTATGGTAATCAGCAGCGGATCTAATCCATACAAAAAAGGTTCATTGGAGCCTTTTTCTTTAAGATGGTAACACGTTTTGGTGAAAAAAATAAATGACAACCACTCAGAGAATGAAAAATGGAGCTAAAATAAGATAGCTAATTGAGAATGAAAAAATCTGGGACTTTCAGCATTAAATTTTCAAATTCATATATCAATCCCATGTAATTAAAGACACATATAAACATAAACATTGGTCGAGAGGCAAGATTACAGTTATATTCACAGATGGAATAAAGACTCTTTAATATCTATGTTGGTTCTTCCGTTTATCTCCCTCCTCAGTCTCAGTGTGTGCTGTCCTTGGCTCTGTGGTGCCTGAGATTTAACACCTGAGCATTTCCCAAACCTCCACCTCCCTTGAAATTCTTGTTGACCTATGGAGGTCAGACCTGGAGCTCAATAAAAACTTTCCATCAAAGGGCCAAAAAGAATTTCTACCTTTTCACTTACACTTCATTTCAGAATAACATCTTTCTTAAGTGTTGAAACAGCATTTAATTTAATTTTTTTTTCTTTTTATTGAGTTTATTGGTACATTCTAGGTATACAGTACACTTACATTCATTACTGGGATCTTGTACCTTTACATGACAGGTCTTGGTTCTCATTTTTCCCCTTGTCCCTGCCCTCCCTTCATCCCCTCCTCTCCTCCCCATTTACAAAGACTTTATTTCCATATTTTCATTTTCTCTTTTTTTTTTCTTTTCCCTTATTCCCTTTCCCCTACCCTGCCCACTTTCCCTACACCTTTAGCCCTTTTCTTCCTATTTCACATTGTTAATTATGTCATTAGGATCCTGTGTACTATTACAGTTTTTCACACCAGAGAAACTACTCAGTATTTATACTTGTGTGACTTATTTATTTCACTTAGGAGTATATCCTCAATATGTATCCATTTTCCTATGAATGACTCTTAATTTCTCATTCCTTATGGCTGAGTAGTATTCCATTTTATAGAAAAACCACATCTTCTTTATTCAGTTTCCAAATGAGGGGCAAATGGGCTATTTCCATGCTTTAGCTATTACAAACTGTGCTGCTATAAAAACAGGTGGACATATGTCACTGTGATATGATTCTTTTAATTCTTTTGGAAAGATATCCAGCAGAGCTATTGCTAGGTCAAATGGAACCTCTAGTTCCATCTCTTTGAGGTATCTCCATATTGATTTCCATAGTGGTTGCACCAGTATGCACTCACACCAACAATGCAGAAGGGTTCCTTTCTCCCCACAACCCCACCAACATTTGTTATTGTGTGATTCCTTGATAGCAGCCATTCTTTGTGGGGTGAGGTGGAATCTCAGTGTTGTTTTAATCTGAATTTCTTGAATGACCAGTGATGTGGAATATTTTTTCATATATTTGCTTGCTGCTTTTACTTCTTTGAGAAATGTCTGTTTATTTGAAATGCCCATTTTTGAACTGGGTCTTTATGTTTGGGGGTGCTGATTGTTTTGAGCTCCTTATATATTCTAGATTATAGTCCTTTGTCTGAGGAGCAGCTGGTAAAATTTTTTCCCACATTGTAGGTGATTTCTTAGTTCTGTTGATGCTTTCTTTTGCAGTGCAGAAGATTTTAATAAAATGAGATCGCAGTTGTTGATTCTTTCTGCTAGTTCCCGTGCTACTGAGGATTTATTCATAAAGTCTTTTCCTATGCTAATGTCTTCCAGAGTTCTGCCTAACTCATCTTCCACCAAGTTTAGTGTTTCTGTTTTAGTATTTAGATCTTTAATCCACTTGGATTTTAATTTAGTGCATGGTGACATATAAGGGTCTAGTTTTAATCTTTGGCAGGTTGAGATCCAGTTTTTCCAACACCATTTATTAAAGAGGCCATCCTTACTCCAGTGGGGATAGTCAGCTCCTTTGTCAAAGATGAGGTAGCTGAGCACATCTGGACTTGTTTTTATGCCTTCCAATCTGTTCCACTGATCCTCAGGTCTGTTTCCTTGCCAGTACCATGCTGTTTTTATCACAGTGGCTTTGTAGTATAGTTTCAAATTGGGAATTGTTATACCCACTGCCATGTGTCTGTTGCCTAGGATGGCTTTTGCTATTCTAGGTCTCCTATGGCTCCAAATGAATTCTTGGATTCTTTTTTCTAGTTCTGTGAA